TAACATAACTAAATTGTGCAGAATTAATATCATTTCTATTTCTAATATTAAAAATAAAACTTTCAGTTGTATTTTTATATATCTCAGCTCCATTATTTAAATTCCAATAAAGTGGATTATAACCTCCTACTAATTGATCTGAATTTTGTATTTTGCCAACCACAAGAGTTTTATTGATATTATCACATTTTTGATAAAATGTAGCTACACTATTACCATCTCTACTATGACGATATATAAGTTTGAATTCATATTTAACTTCCTTTAATGAACTATATTGTGGACTTTTTCTATCAATCCAACTTGCAAAAAGTAAAGTAAGTTTTTGATTGATTGTCAATGATTCAAGTGTTGAATTCAAAATTTTAAATTCAGGATTCCTTGATGGTAATAAACTCAATATTTGTTGTCTATCAGGAAATATATAATAATGTAAAAGGGGCTTCCATAAAGTTTTGGGGAAAAGCATTTGATATGGCTCAATTTTATTAAAAAAATCATCTCGAGAAACATCCTGAAATCTTATTAAAAAAAGAAATTCTTTTAATGTATTGCTTAAATCAGCAAAATTTTGTGATGACCAATCCTCAACATTGATATTATTGATTTCTGGATGTTTTGCCAATCCCCATTTAAGAATATTTTCCCAAATAACCATCTCATTAACAGAAAAATCATCTCTTTTGAGAATTTCCAATAGAGTTGGTTTTTCCAACAATTCAAATTCACTTGATTCAAATAATTTTTCACTATATTCACAAAATTTTTCCAAATAAATATTTTTCAATTCCTTGAATTTTTCATTACCATAAATTAATTGTAAAATTTTAACTGGACTTTCTTTTATATAATCTTCACAATTTTCAATAAAGTATTTCATAATATATTCATAAAATGACTCAATACCAAGTTGATCTGCTGCAATTATTAGTTCTAATATCTCAGCTCCAGAATAATTTTCAAAATCAATTTTACATGTGTATAGGAATCTTTCATTAAACAGGTTATTATCATTAATATACATTCAATTAATTAATAAATAAATAAATAATAAATTTATTTAAACTTACTTGAGAATAGGCTTAAAAAATTTTTCACTAATATTAGCTTCCTTAACAATATAATATCCATTTTCTTTTGTTGCATCATTTAATACATTGCTAAAAAATGGACAATGAGCAGATATGATGGATGCATGTGCATGAACTTCTTTAATGTTTGGTTCTACACCAAGATATATTTTTACATCATAAAAATCTTCTGTATTTAATAATCTTTCATTTTCATTGAAATATTTTTCCAAAATTGTTGAATCCATTTAATTTTTTTTTAAAAAGGTTAAAAAAAAAAAAATCGACAATTAGCAAATAAACCGGTTTTATACCTTTTTGGAGAATGGGACTCGTCATAAAATATAAAAAAATTGAGCATGAAATTCCTTAAAAAAATTTCAATCCTTCCGTATTCACAATTTTATCATTATCGTCGTCAATTATTGCACCAACATTATAAATTATTGATATCCAAGAGTGCAAATGATATTTCCAAGAAAGCTTTTCATACTACAAATAGTTTCCGGGCACAATTTCCATTTTTATTTTTAAATTCTGGTCCATACGCAACCGAACATTCCACACCACCACCTGATGCTCTAAGAACAATATATCAACAAACATTGAATCATTCAAGAAAAAATTATGCTATTAGCGAACTTCAAGGTTCATTCTTGACATTTTTAACTTCTATAATTAAACCAAAAGGCATTCTTGAACTTGGATGTTTTCTCGGTTATTCCAGTTTGTGTTTTGCTGAAGGATTACGAAAAAGTGGAATTGCAAGTAATAATAAAAGTACAATAGTAACTTGTGAACTTGATCCTGATTATGCGAAAAAAGCCAAAGAAAATATCGAGTATTGTGGATTCAGTGATCTGATTGAAGTAAAAGTTGGAAATGCTATTGACACGTAAATATTAATATATGATTATGATTTTGTAATTTATATATATTTTAAATTTTGTTTTGTTTTTAGAATAAAAAATTTAGAAAAGTCAAAGAAATTTGATATGATTTTCCTAGGCAAGTAATGTTTATGATTTTTTGGCATCAAAACACTAATTAATTTTTGTTATACATTTAATAATTTTAGATGCAAATAAGTCTGGTTATATTAATTATTTAAACATTATACTTGATTGTGACCTATTAAGTGACGATGGATTCATTATTGTTGACAATGGTAAATATTATTTTTAATTAATTAATTAATCATGAAATATCAAATTATGAAATATTAACAATTGAGGAAAAAAATATAAAAGTGCTTTATAGTGGTTATGTTGAAAAAGTCCACAATATAGTTCATTAAAGGAAGTTAAATATGAATTCAAACTTATATATCGTAGTAGTAGAGATGGTAATAGTGTAGCTACATTTCATCAAAAATGTGATAATATCAATAAAACTCTTGTAGTAGGCAAAATACAAAATTCAGATCAATTAGTAGGAGGTTATAATCCACTTGATTGGAATTTAAATAATGGAAATATCATATTTAAAAATACAACTGAAAGTTTTATTTTTAATATTAGAAATAGAAATGATATTAATTCTGCACAATTTAGTTATGTTATTAAACAAAAAGCAATTTACTGCCATCCTTCAGATTTGGCTATTTTTGGTAATACTTGTGATCTTATTTTTAGAACATATAATACTGTTGAGTGTTATGGTGGTAATTATAATAACATTAATATAGTAAATCATAGTAAATATGACGAATTAGAAGTATTCCAAATAATTGATAAATAAAAGTTTTAATACTATTTTAAGCAATAAATTTATATACATGTATATTATATTTTAAAGACTATTTCTCTTTATACTTTTCTCATTAATGATGAACAAAAATGTCTGACCACACATACATAATAATAAATATAAAATTTTATGTTGCTTAGGTTTTGAAGTGTATACGTATTCATAACTTTTATTCTAAAAAAATAAATTTCTTTCTCAAAATAAAACTCAAATAAAAAACAATGGTATCTAGTTGGCCACCAATTGTTAAAATACATGCTCCGGTCCTTTTAATGGAATTCCTCTTTCAGAATAGCCTTTAATTCGCTCATTTTTTTGAGGTTAGGTGATTGTGAAGGCAGTCCCCCCCTCAATCTAATTTGATTATTAAACTCATTTATAATTAAAGGTAAATTCTCCTCCAAAATTAAACACGAGTTGGTCGAAATATTGTAAATCACTCCATATCACTGACTTCCACTTCCTAACACTCCGGCTTTCAACCATTTTCTCTTTGTTTTCATCAAAGGGGCGTTATTGCTCCAACTCATGAATAAATCTTAAGATTATGAAAGTTCCTACAAATCGTTTGGTAGAAATCTCAATGCCACTTGCTTCTATGAGTTTCTCTTTTAGTTGATGATTATTTTCCTTTCATATCAGCCGATTTGGTTTTTGGGGCCTTTTTTTCAAACCTTATGTCTTATTGTCTCGATGTTAAACACGAGTATTTTTAATGTGTAAACTGGTCGGTAGAATGATAATTAACCCTAAAAAAATTATTTGCTCCGCTAAAAAAACTAATTTACTATCCATAAACCCGTCAAACCAATGGCCTCACCTCAAAACCAATGGGTTTTTGCTAGTATAAAGTATTCATAACGTTATGATCATACCATACTGGATTTTGGGGTTCAAACAAAACCAGCGCATATGTTAATTGTTTTTGATCTAAAATTTTGGACCTTCTACTTCATGTATATAGTACTTTCAACATCATCATCATTATAATAATGAGTTATTGTGTATTGGACAGTGCTATATCAATATGGAATTTTTTAATACCTTAGAGATTCTCTTTATAGAAATCTCACTTAAGATTTTACCTCTTTCAATTATTGTTAAGTTTGCATTTTTTACTTTTGGCATTTTAAAATTTAAATAGCGCAAGGCAGCTAGCCTTTTGGTTAACTTTGGGCCACACTTTGTCGATTAATTACAAGCTTTTATATTCAATTAAGTTATTTCACGAATTTATTTAATAATTCTCTTGCTTACTGCCTCTTAGAAAGCTTCGGCAAATCTGTAAGCACATTTTATGGTACAATAAATAAATGTGGCACTTTATAAAGCGGCAAATTCTTTCCTAAATTTCCTTTTACTTTTGCTTTTCTTGGCCGTTAAAGACTTTGTTGATTTGGTTTCTTTATAAGACCCATGGAACTGCTTACTTAACAGCCGTATGTTTACAACAATAATAAATAACGATATGTGATAATGACCTTAATTAATAGATGTCAATATTTTATATTAGGTTGACCAATAAGTGATAGTTATGTCCTCGCGGTAGAGGTATATTTAGAATTTTACTAATACTAAGGATAACGAAGGGATACAACTGATTTATCTCCTGTTTTTATGTAATTCTCCATTTTATTAAAAGCTTCTTGCACTGAAACCATCATTCATTATGTGCGCATAAAAACGATCTTTTAAATCTTCTTCTTGTAAACAACAATCAATGGCTTATTTTTTAAAAAAATATTATTTGTTTTATTGAAAACTATGTAAATTGATTAATAATATTATTTGTTGTAAAGAGTTTTATGAAAGCGTCAGAATTATTAGATTCTGATTTTACACTCAAGAAGTTAGTAAATTTTTATTTATTTTATTTAAATATAAATTTTTTTTATAGAGTTTAAGTGTATCTTCCATTCGACGAAATTTCTCAAAAGAAAATACAAATGTTTATGATCTTTTTATTATTAGTTTATATATTTATTACATAAATATTTGATTCTCGAAAAGTTTTTTAGAGAAGAATTAGATAAATATAGCCACGCCATTTAACACAAAGGAGAGCACTCATCAATGGTTCTCCAGATTCGAAAATTTTATTAAAGACACACAACCTAGTATTGACTTGACAAAAATTAGTGATGATAAAAGAGTTATTGCATCATTATTGCGTTAATTTATTGTTGTAATTAAAACTAGAGATAACAAGGAATACAAAGCTAATCAATTATAACGGAATCTGTGCTATCAATCGTTATTTCCATGAGTTATTAAATATAGAACATCACTGAGTTTGGTACTGTACGAGAGAGATGTTTACATATAATTGGTAGAACTTGCTGATGGTAATTACAATGGTGCGAATCCTTTATCTTGATGAGGAGATGACCAAAATTTTTGATCATCCAATGGTATCATCAAATTCATCCGAAGGGTTGCCCAGAAGGGTATTTTTGTGGATCTTATCCTTGAAATTAAAACAAGCCATTTAAAGGAAAGATTTGACGATCTGATCACAGCTCCGAACGAATCGAATCGAGTCGAATTTTAAAGTGATTCGATTCGACTCAATTTGAATCAAACCGGATTCCTAAATTTTTTTCTTATTGGAATGATTCGAATAAAACAAATAAAAATAATTTGAATAAAATAATAAAATGAATTAATTCGGATAATTCAATAAAACGAATAATTCAGATAAGAGTTTGTATTGTGAATAGAGATTCTACATAAATATTAATAACGATAACAAAAAAGTAATGTAATTTACAATCGCACAATTCATTGTTTAAATTTAAATAATAAATATCAAAACAAATCGAATCGAATCAAAATTTTGCAAATAGACCATAATGTAGACTACTAATAATAGATCTAGATTCAATGAGACTTAATTGAATTCAATTGTCAACAATTTAAATGATACAATTAGTTATGTAATGGGGATATTAGTGTTGGTTGCCAAAACTATTTTGAAGAGGCGAAAGTCAAAACTAAATCAAAAGTCAATAGTCAAAAATCAAAACTAGTTTCGACTTATGGAGAAACCTTTGACTTTTGCACGGTTGCGAAACTCTCTAATTTGGAAACCAACACTAGGGGATATAGATATTTTTTGTCAATATATTAAATTTCTCTCGTATTGATTGACATCTCTCTCATTCATAAACAGATTGTAAATTAATTGTTTGTAAAAAGACATGTAAGTTTGGGAACACAATCAATGCTCTCTATGCCGAACCCCTGGACCGAGAAATTTCGCAAGTGTCAATCATTGTCACATGATCATCAATTACTGCAATAAAGGCTAATACATGAATATATATGCAATTTTTATCAATTTCGTCAGACAAAAAAAATATATTACACATGTATCTATATTGTATTTTTATGAACTGGTTTTTGATGCAAAGTAAGGATAACAAGTAGTTTTATTAGTTAATTAACGGTTGATTTAACTTGTTGTAAAAAACCAAACTTTTAACTAGTTATCCAGGTCTTCACACAGTCCTTGGCAAATTGTTAACACAATACTTGTCAGTAAAGTGTCCTGTCGGTAAAGTGTCCGGGTTCTTATTATAAACCCATCACAATTTTCTAAACATATCAATGATAGTAATATAATAATGTATAGTATTTTTTTTGCAAATCTGTTACAATTTAATTTTTAATAATGCATTTAGTTATAAATTTTAATTTTAGCAATAAAAATAATAATCAATTAATGATTATTCCAAATATTTGTTTTCTTTTAACCATT